AATAACTTCTAGCTTTTCATAACTTTTTAAAGACTCTGATGTATCTTCTATGCTTTTTAATTAACTGTACCCACCCACCTGAGCATGAAACTGAGCAAACTCAGGGAGGCAGTGAAGGACAGGAAGGCCTGGCGCAATATGGTTCATGGGGTCACGAAGAGTCGGACACGACTTAACGACTAAACAACAACAACAACCCTAACCACACCTTTCAAATCATTTTGAAGTGTGCGCATCTCTTGTGCGTGGGTGTGTATCTGCCAGAAGCTTCACTCCAAAAACAGGGCAAGGCCAGGACAAAAAAGGTATATTGTTTAAATTAATAACTTCAATTAAGTTGCCTGTAAAATAAGGAGTTGCATTTACAAAATTAAATTATCCTTATCCATATATACCAACCATTCTGTTTTGCACCCACAAATTTCTCAAAGCACTGTCTCCTTTGGGAGAAACAGCCAAAGAAGAACAAGAAGAAAGACCACCCTCACAAATGGTGATGGGGTAAAAGGAAGGAGAGGGGGAGAAAACAGAAGTTTTGGTCTTATCAGCTCTAAGATTATAACCCCCTCCCCTAACTCATAGGTGTTCTTTGGGGAAAAACTTTGTTTTCCTATTAGGTAAATACCATCTGTTTATATCTCCTTCCTGTTATTTTGGCCAAGCACTTCTTCTTTTTAAGATCTTGATTTGTAGTGACATAATATTTTAGTTTGGAAAGGTACCTAGAACTTAATTATTCATTATATCTGCTTCATAAGTGGTTTTGGGAATTTGGTTTCAATTCCCTCATGCTTCTATTTAATAATCTGTAACAGAAAACTTCAGTGTGTTCATGGAGGTCTGTATTTTTTATTAGCTTCCTGCCTTCTACCATTGCTCTGGATGTAGAACTAGGGCTGTATGCTGTTGTGATTTATGCCTCGCAATTTGTTGCTGTGTGTGTGTAACCGTGTATCTTGTGTGCTCTATGGCCAGATCATGTAACACTTGAAAAGTGTTTTCTGTGAGATTTAAAATTATACTTGCAGCAGGCATAACTGTATTACATTATACACTCTATTTTGTATGGAGTCTATAATTAATTTCTTAGAAGTGCAGAAGAAGTGCCTATTGGTCTCTGAACTTGTTTTTGAAGTCCTGTATATTCTCTTGCTTTTTTAGAAAAATGTCTCTATAGAAAAATAGATAATCCAAAGAACTAAGATTTACGAGAGAAGCTTCTATGACTGAGCATCATGAGCTATTATCTGATTAAAGTCTTGTCAGACATTTTTTTCAAATACTCCAGATGGTGAAATAAAAGCATGTTGTTCATCAAAAAACATCCTTTGCATCTCAGTGCTAGAACACAAACATAAGACTTGCAGCTGGGCTTGCTTATTGTGTGCTAATAATAATATATTTTGTTTAATTTTAATTTAGGAAGTTGTATGAACTAGTCATGGTTTATGGCTTGGCAGCTGTGCAAGCTCATTTGTTCAGTGGTGTAAACCATAGTGAATAAACTATAGCTGAGTGTGATATGTGAATCCAGTTGCAGTTTCATTATTTAGATTGAGTTCTAAAAAGAAAACTCAAGACAAATTCTAACATATCTTAAAACAGTGCTACATTATACCAACTACAGATTTTGGCAAAAATCCTAGTTGCTAGACCCTGCTCCTTACTCTTGACCACACACAGAGGCATGATAATCCCTAATTTCCTCTCCAACTCTAGACTTGGAATGGGGAGATGAAAATAGTCCTGTTTTGGTAATGAATTTCTGAGGGATTCAGGGATTTTCCATTTAATGTTCTCATAGCTACAGGAACAACCTCTGTCTCCTTTCTTCCAACAGCAGGTGCATTAGCAAGATGCTTGAGTAATTAACATTCAACTCCAAGCATTTTGGATGACGTTGATTCTCAGGATCCATTTCAACCCAGTTTTAAGTGCAGTTTTGAGACCGAAACAGCTATGATTTTCCCAGGGATGGCATTTACCAAAAAGAGACGGGGAGAAGTCTTTTAGCTCTCCTGAATCTCTCAGTAGCTTTCTATGTTATCAATTATGGTCTATTTCTGAAACCGGCATCTAACTTATGGAAATTGTTTCTTTGGTGATTCTGCTTCTGTTCAAGTGTCTAATTTGAGAAAATAGTGCTGAAGGATTGCCATAGAGCAGAATAGTAATATTATAGGGATTCCTAGAGCTCTATTTTATCTCACATGTTTTATAACTTCTACATTTAACTGCTGGAGAGATTATCTGAGAATGTAGGCTGAGATGTCATCAACATATAGCTGATATTCAGTTTTTTTCCTAATTTCACTTCATTGAAGTGAGGCAGTGAATGTCCTGAATCAGTGTCCAGGTGAGTAATGGACTGGACAGAGACCAAAGTTCAGTCCAGACAAGTTAGATGTGCATTTGGTGAGTAATTCATCTGCCAAGCTTTTCTCTTCATAAGCCACACTACATTCTATTCTCTTTCTGAATATATTTCAAAATATTACTGTTTTGTGGGCAGAGTATCTGGAGGAATTATTTTCCCACATATACTTATGTCTTTGGATCATCTTTGGGATCTCTTCGTTAGGCACCTCTGTTGACTGAAGTTAAAACGAGTGACTACAAGAGAATGGGTGATCTTTTTAGCTGTTTTGTCTTGTCCATGAAATGCTCTGTTCAGAAAGGCTTGCCTGGTGCCCACATTATTTTTGGTGCCAAGTGAAGACATTTCTTTTACTCCAAGCATTGCAAATTTAAATAAGTGATTTATAAAAAACTTAATTCCTTGTGTTAGAACGGCTATTTCTATACATTTTATATTCTTCATGCTGATTTTTGTTGAATTTTATTGTGCTTTTACTCTTTTTATGTGATATACAGTACTGTGCAAAAAGTTTAGGCAGGTGTGAAAAAATGCTGTAAAGTAAGAATGCTTTCAAAAATGTATATTGT